AAGAAAATACAACAATAAACTTCACTCTGAGCACAGTATTATTTATCTCCCAAGATTTAAGTACAAGCCGGGTGTGGTGGCTCAGGGTGGACTGCCTGAGCTCACAGGTTGGAGACCAGTCTGAGCCAGAGACCTTGTCTCTAAAAATAGCTGGGCACTGTGGTGGGCAACTGTAGTCCCAGCTAGTTAGAAGGCTGAGGCCAGAGGATCACTTTAGCCCAGGAGTGAGGTTGCTGCGAGCTTGGTAGCCATGGCAATCTACCCAAGGTGACAGAGACTGTCTCAAAAAAATAAAACTAATATTAAAGTCAATATTAAAGCCAATTCATTAGCATGTTTCATATGTTGTAAAAAGCTGGACTTCTGGAATAGTAGGCCAACTACTCAAAGCCATCCACATTCTGGTGCCAACCAACCTTTCCAAATTCATCTACTATTTCCCTCCTGTACTCTCATTTCCTGCCATAGCAGACTATTCAAATACTTTCACGACTCACTGCCTAATTACAAGATGTTCTCTCAGGCTCAGACATTTCTCCTCTAATTTAAAACGGATTGATCTTTTTAGCCAGGGATACGTCACTTCAAGTGAAATAAACTTGAGCATAAATTAACCATTCCGTTAGCCAGGTTCCCAGAAACCATTGCTTATACTTGTATTCAAGCATTCATTTGTTCCCACAAACGAATGAAGGTACTACACGTTTTTCCCATCAGACTAAAGTGTTAGATGGCCTTAGTCTATTACCTGTCACAAACTAATACCAAGCTTCACAGCTAGAAAGAACATGTGAAATGAACGGGACACGCTCTCAGAAGCCCCTCCAACAGCGAAAATTTCAGATTCCAAGCCAGAAATCAAGGAGCGCAGTTCTGCCTTCCCACACCTCATCTCTTGATGAGAAGTGATCCTATTTCCTGTCATTTCTGGATACTCCCTAATGAACTCACAACATTTTCCTAAGTTTGTATACAATGTATTCCACAAAACCATCAACTAGCTTGAAGGCTTCGGCTATTAATTAATGTATCTTTCCCTCTTCCATTGCCTCATCAATAATCAATCTCCAAAGAACAAGACTAATATACTAAAGAGTGACTACGTGAGAGAAAAACTACCAGATTTTAGTTCCAAATCATTTCGTGCAACAAAAATAAGCGAACAACAAACGTCTGAAGACACACCTGTTACCCAAAGTTAGGCGCAATGGGTCGCGGTTTAAGCAAACTTGATTTAATACTGCCGGAAAAGCGGCTGCCGGACTTCTGCGCTTTCCTGTCTCGTATCCCAAATTACGCGGACGACAATGCCGAGAGGCAAGGGAGACTTTCTTCCCACGCCTTTTCCCCGACTCTCTGCCCTGGAATTCCAGAGCAAGCCGCTCAAACGAGGCCCTCGCGTCAGAGAAGAGAAGCAACTCTGAAGAAGCAGCGCCCCAACACTGAACAAAGCGCCTGTCGGGGCTGTACGAGGAGGACGCCATTACGCGGGGCAGTGGCCTGCGCCGCTGGCGCGGAGAAGACGACCTACGCGCCGAAGGAGGGCTCGGTCCCCGTCAAAAAGAAATATCGGGAAACGCGGACACCTAGGAAAAAAGACTCTCAGCAACCTGGCAGCAGAGAAGCCACGTCAACAGGGAAAGACCGCTTACCTTCGTGAGTCTTGGCGATCTTCGCCATTTTGTCCACTCGAACACACAGACGGAACTGGGGCTTCCAAGAACTTCCGCTCGTCGCCGCTGCCACGGAGAAAAATAGCTGGAGCTTCTCTCTACGCATGCGCCAAGCGGGGGCGCGCACCTTCGGATAACACGTGACAGAGACACCACCTAGCTGGAACTACGAAGTGCATTGTGGTCGTGGGAGGAGCCAGTGTGGGTCCTTAGGCGGGCCTTCGTGGGGACCGTGGAGAGCCCTGGGTGAGCCGTAATGCTCGTAACTTTACCTTGGAGGAGAGAGTATTCTACGAGGGCAGTTAAGAACAGACCTTGTATGAAACACTACGCTTTCAGAGCTTCAATTCCATTTCTCCAACCTAATGGCGGTTTGGTGCTCGGAAAAGCTTTCCTTATTACCTCTTGTCAGCTGTTGCAATGCTTATTTACTGAGACAGTCATAACAGTCTTGTCCTTCGCCCTGTAATTCAAGGTCTCCTTTCCTTCCTTTCTGCCTTCCATTTGGGGAGTTTGTTTTACAGCGTAATGCTCCCAAACACTATTGAACCTCACAAATAGTCCAGTAAGGTAAACAAGTTGTAGCTAACTAGGGCGGAGGGATATGCAAGGTTATACGGTTATTATGTTGGGGTAATGTGAATTTAAAATAGGGTGACCAGAGTTTAACACCGGTAAGGCGGGACTACATGCCCGGGGGCGGGGGGTGGGGCAGGGGACAGGGCAGGACGTGGCCTGACAACAATGCAAACTTTCATAAGCAGTTCTCGATGATCACTTCTCAGCAATTATTTGTTATCATTACAGTTTAACATTATAAAATTAACAAAAATAATATAAAGCTCATATTCTGGTGAAATAGCCACATGGCAGCCGAAAACCGTATATTCCCTTCTTGTTCTCCCTCCCATTCGTGCATTCTTTCCAAAAATCGGGACTTTTTTTTTTTTTTTGAGACAGAGCCTCAAGCTGTCCTCCTGGGTAGAGTGCCCAGGCATCACAGCTTACAACCACCTCCAAATCCTGGGCTCAAGTGAGTCTCCTGCCTCAGCCTCCCAAGTAGCTGGGACCTCAGGCGCCTGCCACAACGCCTGGCTATTTTTGGTTGCAGCCATCATTGTTGTCTGGCGGGCCCAGGCTGGATTCGAACCCACCACCTTGGGTGTACATGGCTGCTGCCTTAGCCATTTAAGCCACAGACGCTGAGCGAAAATCGGGACTTTTTAAAAACGCAGCGGGTCGCGGTACAAATTGTTGAAAAGTGAAACATCTGGTCACCCTAATTTAAAACCATTTAATTTTACCAGTTCTTAGAACACTGTTGATCATTATTGTTAACATTGATGAAATGTCTCTCTTACATACTAAACGGTATTCCTAAATAAGGAATTTTAATAGATAAAAATGCAGCAGTCTTGACCAGGCATCAGTTATACTGTAATAACCTTCTACAAGCACACTGGACTTGGACTCCGAAGATAGGAAAACTAAAGAAGGAAAGTTGGGTTCAGGAAGCAGCCTAGGAAGACAGGTAGTGATCAAGGAGAGCCATCATAAAGAATTCACCTAAAATCACAACCCAATAACTTAGTAGAAACTTCATTAACAAAAATTAGGGGGAGTTTCGTTTGTTTCTTTTTGGAGACAGACTCTTGTTCTGTTGTCAGAGCTACAGGAATTGGCCTCGTCCTAGCTCACTGCAACCTTGAACTCCATCTTCCTGCCTCAGTCTCCCCAGTAGCTGAAAGTACAGGCAACAACCATCACAGCTGGGTTTTTTTTGGGGGGGGGGTCTTGAACTCCTGTCCTCAAGCGATCCTCCTGCCTTGACTTACCAGAGTAAAAAGTACGATTTTTGTTAGCAACAATAAAAGAATAAATTTGGTAAGTTAAAAATTTAAATTATTGGGTGGCACCTGTGGCTCAGTGAGTAGGGTGCTGGCCCCATATATCATGGGTGGCGGGTCCAAACCCGGCTCTAGCCAAAGGGTAACAAAAAATAGCCGGGCTTTGTGGTGGGCGCCTGTAGTCCCAGCTACTCGAGAGGCTAAGGCGAGAGAATCACCTAAGCCCAAGAGCTGGAGGTTGCTGTGAGCTATGACGCCATAGCACTCTACTGGGGGCAATAAAGTGAAACCCTGTCTCAAAAAAAATTTTTTTTAATTATTTGAGTGTCTTTGATTAAAAGGTTAAATGGTAGTTGGGAGAGGAGGGAAATGAGATCAGAGAAAAACAGGATGTGAATTATTGGTAATTATTAGTAACCTATTTAAATATTTTAATGTAACTAATCAAAATTAATGCAGAAAAATTCATGATATACAAGACATAAAAATTTTAAAGACAATCACTATTACTGATTTTTCCTTTTGCCTCTGAATTCTTTGATGATTGATACTGATAATTGTCAATAATTAATCCACAATGTGAATTATTGATAAATTCTAGTTATTGGGTTGACAGAGGGTTCTGAGGCGGGGCAAGGTGGCTCATACCTGTAATCCCAGCACTCTGGGAGGCCCAGGCAGGCCCATCTCCTGAGCTTAGGAGTTCACCAGCCTGAGCTAGAGCAAGACCCTGTCTCAAAAAATAGCAGGGCATTGTGGCATGCGCCTGTAGTCCCAGCTACTCGGGAGCCTGAGACAAGAGAATTGCTCGAGCCCAAGAGTTTGATGTTGCTGTGAGCTGTGACTCCACAGTACTCTACGGAGGGTGACAAGCGACACTGTCTCAAAAAAAAGAAGAAAAAGGAATTACAGAAATATTATCTATTAATCATCAAACAGAAAGAATTCATGTTGACAAAAAGAATCACAAGGATACTGCATTTCTTTTTCTTTTTTTTTTTTTTTTTTTGAGACAGAGTCTCACTTAGTAGCTCTCAGTAGAGTGCTCTGGCATTATAGCTCACAGCAACCTAAAACTATTGGGCTCAAGTGATTGTCTTGCTTCAGCCTCACCACATGCCTGGCTATTTTTTTAGAGATGAGCTCCCTCTCTGCCTCAGGCTCGTCTCGAACCTGTGAGCTCAAGCTTTGCATCTGCCTCAGCCTCCCAGAGTGTTAGGATTATTTGTGTGAGCCACCGCATTTAGCTGGACATTGCATTTCTTGGCTCATTTTTTAAAAAGATAAATTTTTTTTTGGGGGGGGGACAGTCTCATTATGTCGCCCTCAGTAGAGTGCCATGGCATCATAGCATCATAGTACACAGCAGTCTCAAGCTCTTGGGCTTAAGCAATTCTCTTGTCTCAGCCTCCCAAGTAGCTGGGACTACAAGCGCCCACTACAACACCCAGCTACTTTCGTGTTGCATTTGTAATTGTCCTTTAGCTGTCCAAGGCCATACTTGAACCTGCCAGCCTTGGAGCATTTGGCTGGCGCTGTAACCACTGTGCTATGGGCACTGAGCCTGAAATTTTTAAAGATTATTAATTAAATTATTTTTGAAGTCTCAAAGAAAAAAATTCAAAGCATGGTAAGTATATTCTTTTTTTTCTTTTTTTAGACCGAATCTCAAGCTGTTGCTGTGGGTAGAGCGCTGTGGCATCACAGCTCACAGCAACCTCCAACTCCTGGGCTTAAGTGATTCTCTTGCCTCATCCTCCCAAGTAGCTAGGACTACAGGCACCCACCACAACACCCAGCTATTTTTTGGTTATAGTTGTCATTGTTTGTTGGTCCTGGGCTGAATTTAAACCCACCACCTTCATGGCACCTTAGCCATTTGAGCTACAGGTGCCAAGCCAGTATATTCTTTTTTTTATTAAAACAGAGTCTCACTTTGTCACTTTCAGTAGAGTGCTGTGGCATCATAGCTCACAGCAACCTCAAACTTTTGGGCTCAAGCGATTCTCTTGCCTCAGCCTCCCAAGTAGCTGGGACTACAAGCACTTGCCACAACACCCAGCTACTTTTAGAAATGAGGTCTCACTCTGACTCAGGCTGGTCTTGAACTCATGAACTCAGACAATCCACTTGCCTCAGCCTCCGAGAGTGCTAGTATTACAGGCATGAGCCACCGCACCCAGCGTATATTCTTTTTTTTTTTCACCTTTTTTTATCAGTGTAATTTAAGTGTACTGCAGAAGTTTGCAGGTTCAAGTGTGCCGTGAGATGAAAAAGATTGGGTGGCACCCGTAGGTCAGTGGGTAGGGCACCGAGGATGACGGGTTTGGCCAGGCCAGCTAAAACAAGTGACAACTGCAACAAAAAAAATAGCCAGGAGTTGTGCTGGGTGCCTATAGTCCCCGCAACTTGGAAAGCTGAGGCAAGAGAATCACTTAAGCCCAAGAGTTTGAAGTTGCTGTGAGTTGTGACACCAGGGCAGTCTACCAAGGGCAACATAGTGAGACTGTGTCTCAAAAAAAAAAAAAAAAAAAAAACAGAAGAAAAAGAAAAAGGTTGAAAGACACTGTTGTAAGGGCATCCCCTGAGGAGCTTCCTAAAATTTTAAGTTTGGAGCCCAGACTCCAGAGATTGATTCTGTAGGTTTGAAGTGGAGTGCTTTGATAATTTCTTACAGGTGGCTGTGCCTTGAGAAACACTGCATATCAAGTTCTCTTTTCCTCCTTTATGTCTGGATTCTGGGAAAAGACAAGTCTCTAGTGTTCCATGGTCAGAAGAAATAAACGTACCAAAGCAACAGCGTATGTGATCTGTCACACCGCCAACACTGACCCCCACTGTTACAAAAAATTTTCTTGTGGTTGAGAAATAATGAGTATCCTCTGTGTAAGAGAAGAAGCATACGGGAGCTTCATGGGGTGCCAAGATTCAGCCAAGGTAATTGTTCTTAACCCGCTAAGACATTTGACCCCCTTCAGTCCCCCAAAATAAAATTCATAGAAAATATATAACCTGGTCACACTGATAATTTTGAAAAATGATGTCCCAATAAGAAGTATAAAAGGAGAAATCAAGAAAATATGCTTATAGCAAAAGACAAATTGAAGATTTCATTTCATAAGTTTATGAGTCACGGATGAAAAGTTCCAGAAGGCACAAAGGAAAGGTTTAAGAAAGAGAATATCAGGGGAGAAGCAGCACTGAGCTGTACAGAAATGAGGTTGTAGGAGAGTAATTTTTGAAGGGG